GAAGTTCCTAAGATGCTTGACATGGCTTATCTTTACTTATGTATGTGATTGTAGATGTGTGAGTATAGGTTCAAGCTGGAAAGTTTCATAAAGACATGTCTACTTAAAAGCTCAGATCATACTTAAAGCTTAAGGTTTTTGGTTTGGTTTACTAGGCAAGATCTAAAGCTTCTTTTCTGCATCACAATATATAGTAGGAGATGAGTCTTGGTTTGGTTCGTCAAATAAAATGTGAACTTCCTTTCTAGGCCACAAAAACGTGGCGCAAAACGTGATGGGTAAGCCTGTCCATCCGGGCCGGGCAAAACCGGAGCCCGGACCCGGGCCCGACCGGCCCGGGTTCCGAGCCGGCCCGGTTTTTTCTTTTTTTTAATTTTTTATTATTTTTTTAATTTTATTTAAATTATAAAAAACAAAAAATTTAATAAAAATAATAATTTTATTAATCACTTAAAATGACATAAATTATAATTAAAAAATTATAAAAATAAATTTTTTATTAATAATTAATAAATCATTTACAAATTACAAGTATAAATTTATTTTGGAATTCATCGCATCACAATAGATAAGTACATCCCAACTAGGTTTTTTTAAATTTTTTTTCTTTTTTTTAATAAAAAATTGCTAAAAATTAGTTTAATATTATTATGTTTTATAATTATGTATTAGTATATACTTACAAATTATTATGTAACTATATATTATATGTAAATATATTGTATATATTTATAAGTTATAACTTGAGAGAGAAAGAATCGCATAAGTAGTCGTTGCCCATTGGGCCAATGGGGAAGAAGTAGCCGTTGTAATATACTATACTTACATATACTTATATACTAAGAGAGAGAGTATACACACACATATTATACATATATAAGAGAGATTATACTTATATATACTAAGAGAGAGAGTATATTAGTATATATATATATACACACATATATTATACATATATAAGAGAGTGTATACTTATATATACTTATATAAGAGAGAGTATACTTATATATACATATATACTAAGAGAGAGAGTATATTAGTATATATATATATACACATATATTATACATATATAAGAGAGTGTATACTTATATATACTTATATAAGAGAGAGTATACATATATAAGAGAGAGTATACTTATATTCCCGGAGCCCGGACTTGGCCCGGGTTTCCGGGCCGAGGCCGGGCCGGTCCGGGCCCGGGCCGGTGGGCTTTTTGGACACCCCTAGTGATGGGTTGTTTTTTTAATATCAGTCACTTAAATCTTTCAAAATTTGAAATTATTCCCACTTTCCATTGAAATTTCTCTTAACTAGCCAAATTCGTGTACGTGTTTTTAAGCGAGTCCCTTAAATTATCGAAACAGTAATAATAAAATATTGAAATCACTGTTAGGGCCCCCACCTCTCAAAAATTAAACAATTAATTCTCCAATAACAATTTCGATGATTTGAGGGTCGAATTTCAAAATGTTCAAAGGTGTAAGGGGCTACTGTACAAAATCATTTTAAGGTTCAAAAATCACAGAGACGAGAAGAGGCTCGCACGTCCTCCTCCTCTGTCCACGTGGCGACAAGACCTCGCACCCCTACGTGGCACCTCAGCTATATCGCGCCGTTGCAGGCGGAGAGTAGAGCGTGATCAAGAAAAAATAAACATAAAAAAGAGAAAAACATCACAAAAAACAATTTCTAGAGAGAGAAAGCAAACGAAGAGAGAGAGAGAGAGGGGGAAAGAGCGCGTCACCGAAGGAAGCTGTTCATTTTTCTCCCCCGCCCCTCATCTGACACAAACACAGAAACATAAACAAAAACAAAAACAAAAACAAAAATCCCCTCATTTTTGGATCAGATCGCCCCTCCCCCACTATAATCGAAGATCGCCTCGGAATTGAAAAATCTGATCCAGATCTCTTACAGTTTGGGGGATCGGATCGATCGGATCTAGGTGCCTAGGGCTTTTTTGCCCTCGTTTGATGAGGGTATCGGTCTCCAGCCTCGGAGAACGATGAAATGGTCGTCATTGCTTAAGGACATCAGAGATAAGGTTGGGTTTACGTCCCCTCAGCAATCTGGTTCCTCGAGCTCCTCCGCCTTCGCCGCCGCCGTCGCCGCCGCGACTGGATCCGGGAATCGAGCATCCGATGCTTATGAATCGGTATCCTCGCCGGGGTATGAGTCCGCGGTGTCGTCACCGGCCACCAGGTATTGATTTGACTCGCATTTCTTGATTCGGATTGATTTGATCTAACTTGATAATGGAATGGATAGTAAGATGAATTGGATGCTTGTGGACAGTGGTACACAGTGTTTTTAAAAAAAAAAAAGCTCAAAGGTTGGAACTTGTTGGGATCCAGGGAAATTTGGGGTCGGAATTTGGGTAAAAATGATGATTTGAGGTTTTGGGACATCAGGGAAATATTTGGAAAAAAAATTTAACGGGAAATTTTTGGGTTGAAGTATGTGCATTTCTTGATTCTGATTGCGTTTGATGATGAAAATCTGGGTTTATTGATAGTAGGTTGACTTGAATGCTTGTTCCTAACTGAGTTTGTCTTGCTAGATTAGTAATTTAGTGTATGCACAAAAGAATGAGTTCGAATATTGGATCTTCTTGGAATCCGTTAAAATTTGGGGGTGGCCTTCGTGTGAAAGATGATGTTTTGAGGTTTTGAGACATTTGCACAGTATTACAATTTTTTTCAATGGGGACTGTATGTTTGAAGAATTATGCCCTATAGTTGTAGGTGATTTCACATTTTCCGTGATTCTATTACTCTAATGTACAAATGGAAATTTAGTCCGTTTGGCTGAATACCAAGTTGAGAGATTTGGATACTGTTTATGTAGCAGCATGAAAGCTTGAGCTGTTTTTTCTTTAATAATGATAAAGATCGGGATAATGATAAACCATTTTGAGGTTCTTACTTGAACTCTTGGGAGGGATGCGTTCGAGTGGATATTTTGAATAAAACGCTTGATCCAAGTACCAATGAATTATACTCGAAGAGAATGGAACAAGAAAGTTTTTAGTACTTAGTATTTGATGGTACGACTTTTTGGAGAAACTAGTTTTACAGTGTGCGATGCACGAGACTTATTATTACAACGCTATTGCGATTCTGTGACCGTCATCATGAAATTTTATGATTTGATAGCTGTATTGCATTCAGTCAAAAAGTTATATATTTAAATGAGAATTATCATTGAAACAATAGTTAACAAACTTATAATTTGGGACTCATTACAATCAATGAGAGGAGGAGACACCAAGCAAGTAGGTCATGGAAAAAATCAATCAGAATTTTCAAAGTAGTAATCAAGGATTTTATTTTAGTATTATTATAGATAACTCTGGTACCAAGGCTAAATATTATAGCAACAAGCGAGAATGAGTTGTATGATCTTCTCAATTCAGGCTTAGATCAGGGTTATAAGCTTGAATATTTCGTTCATATATTAAGTGGGAGCTGTTGTTTCTTCTTTTAGCCTTTGTTAGGGAGAAATTTCAGAAATTTTATTAAATAGGGTTCTTTCACTCTACTTATGCTATTGCCTGAATCATACTTTTATTAGGAAACCATTTTCCAGAAATTTGCTTTTATGAAGAGCCAATTAACATCTAAGAGGCATTTTTTAATTACAGATAGCCTTATAAATGTTACTTTATGAAAAACTAGGGGTAAATGATGCTAACCATTGGCAACTATAACTTAATTGCACAATCAGAAGTTCACAAAATTACACTTGGTTATAATTAGCTCCTGAGAGAAGACAAAAGTGTGTTTGGAAGGTGGACTAGTTCTCTAAGAGGGGCCTGAGATTCAGATGCAACACATCCTATTTGTCTACTGTTCTCTAAAACAGTACATGACCAAGTAAGATTGTAGGAGGTATTCACCCTTATTGGCAAGATCGAGAAAAGGGAAAACAATGTTTTTTTTTGTTATTGAAGTGTGTTGTTATTATTAGCCCCATCCATGTCTTTGATTCCTCCTGTCTTTGGTTCTGTCTCGATTAAAATATAATATCGGGCAATAATCTTCTTTAAACTGTTTTTTCTTCACTGGATAGGTACTTACTTGTCTTGCACTCTTTCAACCCTTAGTGTAAACGAACTTCGGTCCTATTATTTGTCTCCCTTGCTTTTCGCGATGTCAACACTTTACCAAATTTTAGGCAGTTCTAGCTGCCTTGGGGATGCCTAGCAGTTTTCATGGATACAAGCATAGATGTTAAGCGTCCAAGTGTCTCAAAGTGCCCGATACTGCAAGTCTTAAGCAATGGGACATAAATAGGGATATTCTTATATATGTGTGTGCACATACACGTGCGTGCTTGTATGTATACCTAGACAGACTTGGCTCCTATCCCATTTAAATTTGATGGTATGGGAAGTAGTTGACGACTTGACGTGTCCACCTGGTGCCTAAATACTAAAAAAAGCATTTTAAGTTCTCTGTACATCATATGGGCACAAAACAGACGATTTAAATATGAAGTTCTTAATTTAATAAGTTTACAATATTTAGGACTTAACAAAAATGTCAGGTGGTGTTTAAATCATGAGGGAATGGTCGGACGGAAAACTTGTACGTTCCAAACCATAGATCTAACTAACATGCTACTTTTGACAGTCTATTTTACATCTTGTTGATGCATTAATTTTTAAATAATCTCACTTTTAGTTGCTTTCAACTGTAAGTTACCTCTCATAAATTCTCCAAACATACAAGAGACATAAGTTGCACTTTATCTTCAGCTGCATCAACTTGAAGTCTCAAGGGTAATTTCTTAAGTTGTGATTAATCTTACAGTCCTTGATTAATCATATATAGATTCTGGCTGCTTGATTCTTTTGGGTTCTTTTATGAATTTCAGAGGAAAACATGAACTGGAGTGGGACTTTAAGAAAAAGGTTATTTTCAAACTGTAATTTTCTATACAACATCTGAACTTAGTACTTTTTTTGCTTATCGCTTGTACATGGTCATGTCTACAAATGTCCCATGCAGGAAAAAGAAAGGGCCTTAAACATGGCAGTAGATGCTTTCTGTAGACTAGTGAAGCAGCAACCTAATGTAGCACAGTTAGAGACTAAGTAAGAACTTGTTTTTTTACTAGTGCAGATTGTTTGCTCATTTCTTTTTCATGTTTCAAATAACTCAATGTGTAACGGTTTCATCTTTCCATTACAGGTTAGTTGAAGCACATATTTTTTCTTTTGTTGTTGGGAGAGCCTTTGTAACCGATGTAGAAAAGCTGAGAATGTACAGCAGGGGAAGATGTTTGGATGTTGATAAGGTTGTTAGCTTCTTTTCTGAAGTCACAAAGGTCTGCTCCTTGCTTGACTTCTGCTTAATAAATATTTTCTTAAACAATTAGACGTTTTGTTGGTATAGAGGTGCTTGTTTTCATGTGTTTAGCTCTCTGTCTTGCAGGATGGTATCAGCTCAGGTTCAAATTTATTGTATTCTATAGAAGTTCTTGTTTCAGGGGTATGGCTTACATCATCTTGTCATTTAATTTTCTCATCTCTGTAGGAATGCTTGTTTACAAAAGAAGTGTTTGTTACGTGAAAAGTAAAATCACCCTTTTCCTGATGACATCATTGTCTGTTTTAATGTCGCTTTATGGACGAGTTTCTTTTGCAAAGTATGTAACAATATTAGACAACATAACAGTTGTAGTCATATGTAGAATTTAGTTTGGATACTAGATAGTCTGATTTGAGTTGGCTTGACGGCTAAGCCCAATTTAAACTTTAAACAAGATAGTGTAGATGTGTTTGGTTTGCAGTGTTTGTCCTTTGCATGCATGTCATGCAGATTTAACATTTGCGCTTACACATGACAGAAGTCCTCAAGCCAAAAAATAAAAAAAATAAAAAACCAAAGATAATTAAATAACAAAGAAATAAAGAAAGAGGAAAGGAAATGAAGGTAAAAGAAAATTACAAATTCGGAAAACAAAAGAAAGGAAAAAATTACAACCCTTAAAAAAAGAGAGTTTAGTAGATTGGTCAATGTACACAGCCCAATGGATACATTAACAGTAGAATTTGGAAATGTCGCCGAATAAGTGATATATCAAGTTGACTATGAGAATGTATAAGAATAACTTGAAACACTATTTTTAACCAAATCAGTTTGTTATTTGATCAATTTGGAAATGTCCTCGAAAGTTTTGTCTTGGGAGCTCCTTGGGTTAGTTTTTGGTACTGAACAAAATTGCAATGAAATTTGCAGCTAACATTTATTTGTCACCTTATGCATGTCTCTAGCTTCCCCTCTCTGTGCATGTTCTAGTTTTTGGCACTGGACAAAATTGCAATGAAATTTGCAGCAAATGTTGATTTGTTTTGGGTTATACATAGTAGATGGTCAATATATTGCAACTTCGATGTACTGATTAATTGAACATTTGTTTTGGGTTCTACATAGTAGACGGTCAATATGTTGCACCTTGAATGTAATGATTAATTGAACATTGTTTGTAATGAAACATGTGACTGAAGCACATCATGAGCTTGTTCCTTTAGTTTAATCTATATTGTATTTCTGAATCCCTATGTACCCAGCTATAAGGTGTATATTTTTAAGCACTTATATTATGTCAAGGCTTGTTATATGTGATGCTGAACAAGGATCTGGTCCATGTTGGATGCTATACTTCACTGCAATTTATTCTGGGTCTCACAGTTGAAATTTTTTTGGGATATTTATTCGGAATGATAGTTTTGACCGAAGGTTATGCATTGATATTGTGTTCTTATGGATCCAGACCATTTCTTTGGTGGGGTTATTCTTTGTCCTCTGTGTTGTGGCTTGTTATACCGCATTGTTTTAGATCTTTCACTCTAGAGGACATTATTTGGCTCACACACGTGTTTTAAATAGATCTTTTTTGGTGGCCTGGTGGATGGGTGTGAGGGTGGTTTCAAGTTGGTTGTTGAGTTTACATTGAGCTTTCTGGCAGAACACATCCATCCCTTAGGGACTATTTAGTCAGGCCCTTTTTTTAATGTAGGAAATTTTCCTTTCGCCTTCCGTAATGGCATTGATGTTGTTAATAATGCAGAAAGTTTACAGGTTGTGTAATCATATATGATTATGCAGGCTTGCATATTGTATAGCTATGCTTGTGATCATGGGAAATCTCGTATGAGTTTAGGTGCCAAAGAGAAAGAAGTTATGAGCTTTTATAAAGTTTCCTTTATTAGTTTATTAGATTCTTGCTACTCTATTTAGTTATTGCCATTTGTTTCTCATTTTATTTATTTTCTTGCTGAAATTTATTGATTGAACAAAAACTGACTTTTGGTACCTCTTTTTTGCGTTCAATTTTTTTATTGAGGATTTCTTGGACCCTTTAGTCATGCACATTAAGCCACTTTACCATACAAAAACTTTCCCTATAGCTAATATCAGTTGTATACAGACAAAAGTGTAGGACATATATTAGCTTTTCTCAAGGACCAGTGTTCATCCACATGCACACACACTGATGTATTTCATTGGAGTCTAACCATATCTTAATTCTACAGCCAGTTGATAAACAATCTTTGTTGGATTCTGGCATTTTTTGCTGCCTTATTCATATACTGAACGCTCTTCTGAATCCTGACGAGTCCAATCAAACACAATCTGCATTTGCACTAGAAGAATCAATTCCAAATGAGGAAAGTAATACTGGAGATACAGTGCAAGCAAGGCGCCTTGAGGTAATTTTGATTATCTAAATGTACTCCAATGTCTATTATTTACATATGACCTGCTTGCTTTGTCAGTGAAATACTGAAATCTTCTGGATCATATTTGTAATGATTTTATAATCTTGCCAGAGTGAGAATCAATACTTCAGCAATCAATTAGCAGCTGATTGTTCTAAAATCTTGTCATGCTGATCTTTCTGCATTTTTATTTAATTTCTGTCAAATTGCTTGGATTAAAAATGTTTCTTACTATTGCATCTTTTTCTAGATTGCAATATTTTTTGTGATTTTGGTTGTTAAATTGTGTGAATCATGTCAAAAAGATTTTTATGGGATTGTTTTTAACAGTTAGAAACACTGCATAAAGCTACAACATACAAAGATATATATATCAAGCCGCTAGGAGATAACTATCAAACCTACATAAAATCCTCATTTTAGAATAAATATAAGCTATTCTTGCTTCTGTTACATTCCAAAGTAGAGCTGTCACTGTATTCAGTTGCTAGATTTGGGCATATGCTCTGCACATGCAATCTTAACTAAATTTAAATTATTAGAATCATGGACACCTACATATGTCTCTATGTATTTATTAATATAATTTTAATATGAGACAAACAAAAAACTAGATATTATAGCTATGGATGTTTTCCCTCTCAAAACCCTTAGTTGAACTCAGCCTGTTATAAACTTCTCAGAAATTACAAGATAATTGTTAGATACCATCGGTAATTTGATGGGTGCGGCGAATTGGTAAGGATCCCAGTAACCTTGAACAAATCTTTTGCAGACAGTTGGAGATAGTTGGATGCACACATTGGTTGTTGTGTGTGCAAAATGACGTAAAGATGAGTCATAAAAAAACTCAGGTCTTTGTCTTTTCCCCTTTCTCAAGGGGATCACAGTGATGCCCTGCATGCGACTCCTCAAGATTTTGCTAGTGTAAGAGTATGAATGATGAGTTTTTGTCTTTTTCTGCTGGTTAAACTAGTGAAATGGTTGCTGGTAATTGGAGGAAGCATATGAAATGCCATCCTCTAAAATGAGTTGATTAGGGCATTTTGCTTGGAGCACCTTTGCATCTACTATTATATATACAGTTTTGTGACTTTCTTATGACACTGCATAAAGCGAAATTTCCAATTTCCTTGAATTTATCTTATTATGTTGACACGTCTTATTCTTAGACCAAATAGTAGTCTTTTACAAGTGCATTCTCCTTCGGCTTTTGGTTATAGTCCTCATGAATCGGTACCTGCAGCAAGATCACAATTCTTTTTAGTGAAAATAATTCTTTTATGGTGATCAATGGTCTCAAATCTTTCCATTTTCCTCTTCCGACCAGGTGGAGGGAAGCATAGTACACATTATGAAGGCATTAGCAAGCCATCCTTCAGCGGCACCAAGTTTAACTGAAGATGATTCACTTGAACTTCTTTTTAATATGGTAGCAAATGGTTCTCTGAAAGTGTTTTACCAATTTAAACATGGTCTTGTTCCCTTGCATACCATCCAGCTTCATCGACATGCCATGCAGGTTGGTACTGCCTGCATTTGTGCAGCAAGCTTGTTTTGTATGCATAAATTAGAAGCACTCTTCTGCTAACCTGCTTCTGTTTCTAACATGTTGTGTGATCAATCTTCAGATACTTGGTCTTCTTCTTGTTAATGATAATGGAAGCACAGCTAAATATATACAGAGACATCATTTGGTATGTTTTCCACTTTCTCTTACAGATATTACCTATTCCATCATATTTTTATCATGAACTCCATTACCTATTAGTTGTCTTATAATAGTTTATTGGATTTGCGGCATGTGATGATTTTAATTTTGGTTATTATTTTATGAATTCCAAAGCACAGATATGTATTGTTAACATGTTGCTTCTAGGTGCGAGAAAATGGTTTTATTTCTATTTGTTTTCCAGGGGCCTGTCGAAAGTCCTATGTTTGGGTAAGCTTCTAGATCAACAGGATTATGTTCATTCGACTGCTTGCTATGTGAACAGTGGCTGACTATTCACCTGCATACTTGGTATATGTGAACGAAAATGTAAGAGTCTTATTATATGGTCCCTCCAAAGCGGATGGTTCGGTAGTACTTACCACTTCCCTCTTTGTCTAGTTTCTTTTCTATCTTGAAGAATTTAGAATTGTTTCTCTTAGCGTAAAGCTCCTAGCCATAGAAAGCCAAGTCCGCATGCCTACTGACCTTTTAGGTTCCATTTGCCACACCCTCTTGCTTAATGCTTCTTTTTTGTCTATGGTTTGGGACCGACTCAAAGGGCTGAATTTTGGAAATGATGTGGGAAGCTTCTCAACTATTCATCATTCCCTTTCGTGACCTGACTTATTACGAAAAGCCCTTGGTTGATAATAAGGGCGATGTTGACTGTGCAGAGAATAATGTGTAAATTGAAGAATATTATTTAAGACACACTACTTCAAGAAATACATGTAGCTGTCTGGTCAGGTACCAAAATTCTACTAACCAAAAATCAATTGGTTATGTTAAGAGGACCAGAAAATAGGTAGGGGCTTTATGCCCACCAGCTCCCCCCCCCCAACCAACAAACATATATCATAAAAAATAAAATAAGTAATAGGTGTCATTTGCTAATAATTATCTATATTGATTAAATTGCATAAAGTACCTAGCTTTTACAGCAAGCATCCTTTGGCTGCCCAACTCTATATTACAATGATAGCACCTCAGCTAGATCCTTGATCCTCATGCTGAGCATATAATACTGATTCGTGCATGAGACAAATTATGAACACACAAATCATTCAGTTCTAAATGAGGAAAGAAGTTTTAGAAGATAACAGATGCTGTCTTATGGTGCCTTTAGATGGAACAAAGATTACCAGTGGCAACGAAAAAAGACATGCTATTTCTTAAAGAATAAATTACTTCTTGAGAAATAATTACTCCTTAGAATACATAATACTCACAACATCTAATTTTTTATTTTCAGTCACATCTAGAGTAAACTTTGATCAAATGCTCCCTACAGTTGGCAGTTTCTGATTAGCAAAGAACTGATAGAAGGACCTCTAAATTCAAAAAGAAAAAAGGTGCAAGAGAAGCAAAATAAGTAAATAACTAACAAAAAGATGCAGGAACCTTAAAAAAAAGGACTGGAAACTATAAAAGGCTTTCTGTAAAATATGAAGAATAGCAGAATAAACAGCCTTCGAAAAAAGCAAGTAGTTTTAGACCCCAAAAATTTTGGCCCATTATGAGATAACCCCCATTTAATGGTGTTCAGATGCTAATCAATTGTGTTAAAAAAGTTATGTATTGTCATGTTTAATTATTTTTTTGACCCTCTTGCCGAAATTCCTATCTCCGACACTGTTTTACTGACTGTACAATTTCATTTTCACCCCGTTAATGTTGTTGCACATGCACTTATACACGTGTATACACTCACATGAGCAAGACTTAATTGGTTCGAGAGACTAAAATGTTTGTTCCTACTTAACTATACAATTGATCACTCTAGTGGATGATAGTCTCACTTCTTTTTAAAGTCAATTCCTTCATCAAATGGCAAATGTCTTTCAAAACACTTGACAAACTCGTACCAAGATAATTGGCCATTAAAACTGTTTCTATTCCAGGATAATGAAACAAATAACCATTTGATGTATAATTAGAAGTTTTAAAATAAAATGTTTCGTCTATGGCTATATGCTTATTACTTTATATCAAGATGAGCTATGCAGTTCACTGATGCACATAAAATCTGCTCACGTGTAGCAACTTTGTATGGGACTCAAGTCACATGTGCAGGCGGCTTTGGGTCTGTTTTTCTTATGCATAAGCTACACAGCTGGAGAAGTGAAAGTGATGGATAGTGGTGCACGCTAACAGTTCATAATAATACATACTCACTATTGGCTTCAAACATAACGAACAGATTAGCATACAAACTCGATAGACTCAGTAAAAGAAACCATTTTTACGTGTCTCTGTGCATGCACGCATAGGGTGTTCTGTCCTTTTGAAATTCGATTTATATCCGCTGGAAACAACTGTTTGTGTTTCCATGAGATTATATCTGAAACTAAAACCTGCTAAATAGGTCCTCAGGAATGGGAAACTGTTTCATAAATTGTCTAGTCAGCTTGCAGCCTCATAACTTCTCACAGAACATATCCCCTAAAAGACTTAAATTCATATTATGAGTATAAAACTTGATATAGCCAAAATTGATGCTATCATATGAAAGTAAATCAAGCACTGGTAATGGGAGGAATTTGGAGGAAAATAAAGCTCAAGGACATGTATTTTGTTCTGGTTGGCATCCCCAAACATGTATACAGGTATAGTTGATCCTAAAAAGGCATAAACAAGTGAAGTCTAATCATACTTTGTTCTTGATCAATAAAGTCTGATCCTAAAAAGGCATAAACAAGTGAAGTTTAATCATACGTTGTTCTTGATCAATAAAGTCTGATCATACTTTGTTCTTGATCAATAAATTGAACTTGCACAAGTATTGTTCTTGAGCTTTTAAACATTATAGACATGCTCTAATGAGCTTGATAAGGTCATTTGAAGCTGTTCGCGTTGAGCATCTTTAGATTGAAATCTTTCATATGATTAATTTACTCAGTTGGAAGAAGGTTGATGATTGATCTCACTAGCATTTATTTCATTCATTGACCCATGGTCAAACCCATGGTCATGTAAATTTGTTTAAAAAAAGTCTCAATCTAGAGTTTGCGATTTTAACACCTAAATAATAATAAAAATGGTATTCCTTAAAAAAATATTTAAGCAAAATAAACAAGTTTGATGTTAATGATATTAGTAAAGCATACTGATTCTCATCAAGCAAAAGGTTTTGCAGACTGGAGTCAACAAAACAGAGGATAAAATGGCCCAAAAAGCCAATCCCAGGGAACGGTGATGCTTCATCAGTAAAGGCATTAAAGATATAATTGATACTTAACCTAACGAGAAAGCCAACAGAGACTAAAAGATACAATCTGATTTGGGAAAAGAGGAGCTGAGTAATATGACTATTTAACCCTGAATTTGAAGTCCTAATCATTGAAAATTAAACTTTATTAGGAAGTAACTAAAATTGACTTTTAATTCATGCACAAGCTGACACTAAAACTAAACAAAACTAACCTACATCAATTAATTTTGAAATATCGTAAAGTCAGCCTGTAAAATATGTTTAGAAGAAGCTCTTGATCGTGTCACAGCTTCTTCTGGCACCAATGGTTCCCAAAGGGTTGCCCCTTGTCAATTAGTCCATTTTCATAGTTGTCTCTTCTTTGTCTCTCATCCAAGAAGGAGTTGGTTGATCACTTTAAATAAGTCATCCTTGAGAAATCTCTCATTGTTGGTGTGATAGGATGATAAGCAAGGGAAGATGAATACATGGAAGGGAAAGAAGATACAGGGGAAATGAGAACAACATTGCTTCAAGCCTGCAATGAGTTCTGTTTGATGAGTTTAAGTTACCAGGTTACAGGTGCCAAACCTGGACCTGCTAACTTATAACTAATGAATCTCAAAACATCTTGGTCCAAGTCCTATTTTTCTTTAAAGCAACAAATTCCTTATTCAATTTAGATACGATCCGTAGCACAAGTGTCAGTTCAACCATACTTATTCGCACGGAGCTTATCCTATGCAATCCAATGCATATCAGAGTTGCATGCTCACTGATGATTTATTTAATATATCCTGTCATCATAAATGGCGATCACTTTACTAGTTATCTAGGAAGCAGACGGGCTTTGCCATGACTTGAAGACTATTTGGGTGCAAAAAGGGCAAGTACGTTATTGGTTAGTCACATGTAATGGTAGATTAACCCTCCAAGCTCCACTAATTGGGAGAAGACTTGGATTCAAAAAGATCTCTACTATTTCTAGTGAAACCCTTGGAGTGTGCAATTGGATTTCAGTTTTTGTTTCATGTTCAGCTTGCTCATGAACATCCAAACACAATGGTGTTTTCTTCAGTGTCTCTTTGGTTCTTCACTCTGTTCAACTTGTATACCTATCCACGCATTATAAGAGAGAGTGATTAATAAGATGTAGCTTCCTGACCTTCTTTCTCAAGCTCAGTGACATCTATGATAGCTCCTTCCACAGTCCTATGTCATCAATTACAAAGAATGACATCATTTACAAAGAATGAATTGTTCTACACCCTTTTTTCGTAGGAAATAACAACCATTGCAATCACAGACGCCACATGCAAGAAACTAGATTCTTTGACTAGGAACAACATTTACTAAAAACTTTAAATATGTAGCATAAAAAAGCATACTGGAAATCAGGTCTTAGAGATGGGACCGATAAAACTAGACTGTTATCCCACAAGTGGATGATGCTATCTTATTATTTTCCAAATTCTAAATATTCATGAATATGCAACCTGTAAGTGAAAAAGGTGAATGGCTGTATTAAGGAAAACCTGATGATCAATCAATTACCAACGGCCAGTGATGAAAATGAATTTAGGTTATTATTTTCACTATACTCGTTTAGCATAGACCAGTAACGTTGTCAATTAATGAAGAACTATGAATATATTATTTTTTTCTCTTCTGACATTTCAGCCAAATGGAAAGCTTTATTTCTAGAGATGCTCTTTATTTTATTTTTGCTTGTCATTGTCTCAAATTCTCATAGCTGTCAGGTGCTGATAGGTGTTTTTTTGCCTATGTATGTCTCGTTTTCAAATAGTGCACAAAAAAGTACTACTTGTATACAGCAATATTTCCTTGTCATTCCCCCTAGATGTTTGTCATTATCGTTGTTCTATCTTTGTGTATCTGGCCTCATCAGGTGCTTTACTGACTTATGTTTAGATCAAAATCCTTTTAATGGCTGTGAGAGATTTCGATCTGGAGAAAGGTGATCCTTCTTACACAATGGGCATTGTTGACCTGCTACTTGAATGTGTGGAATTGTCATATAGACATGGTATGTGCCACTTCATATTGACTTCTTTGATGCGCAGTTTTTCTGCACCAAGCTTTACTAGACACGATATGCTATCTGAGGGCAGTTCAGATTTCCAGATTGATATGTTTTGCTGCTTTTAGCTGGATGTTTAGTCTTTGTGTTTTATCTGGTATTATTGTATTTTCCTTGCAGAGGCTGGCCACATCCGGCTTCGGGAAGACATACATAATGCCCATGGGTATCAGTATCTTGTTCAGTTTGCTTTAAAGCTGTCCAACACACAGAAGAATCAGTTTGTTCAATCTTTTAGCGAGAAACCTTCTGCTAGAGATGATTCTCATGCAGACGATCCTGATGCATCTAATAGCTTGGAAAACCATAAGTTAGTCAGTGGGGATTCCTTTCCAGCACATATTTCTCCTGTATTGTCCAGGTTACTTGATGTTCTTGTTAATCTGGCACAAACTGGTCCTGCAGAACCTGTTGCTTCTGTTGGTGGGAAAGCTTTGAGAGGGAAGGCTTCAGGGCATAACAGAAGTCGAACACCTTCTGGTGATAGGTTTGGTGATGAGATGTGGGAAAAGAGTAATACTATGGTAAAAGACCTGGAAGCCATCCAAATGCTGCAAGATATTTTTCTGAAAGTTGACAGTTTAGAGCTGCAGGCGGAGGTGTTAAATAGAATGTTTAAACTATTTTCAAGTCATCTGGAGAATTACAGGATATGTCAACAGTTGCGAACTGTTCCCCTTTTCATATTGAATATGGCCGGATTTCCTGTGTCATTGCAGGAAATAATTCTGAAAATATTAGAATATGCTGTGACGGTAGTGAATTGCATTCCAGAACAAGAATTGCTTTCACTTTGCTGCTTGTTGCAGCAGCCAATTACTTCTAGTCTGAAGCACACCATTCTTGCATTTTTTGTGAAGCTTCTATCATTTGATCAACAATACAAGAAAGTCCTAAGGGAAGTTGGTGTTCTAGAGGTGCTATTAGATGATCTTAAACAAAATAAATTCCTGTCTGGTGTGGAACAGAAAAATAAGATGGCTAGTCTAGAGTGGAAGTCTGGCTCAAACAGTTTTAAGAAACATATCGACAATAAGGATGCTATTCTTTCTTCACCCAAATTGGGGAGTCCTGTTGGGAAACATCCAATATTTGAAGACGAAGGAACAATTCCTGTAGCATGGGATTGCCTTTTTTCGTTATTAAAGAAAGCTGAAGCGAACCAACAATCTTTTCGATCTTCTAACGGCGTGACCATACTTCTTCCACTGTTGGCATCAGAAAGCCATCGTTCCGGGGTCCTGAGGTTGCTGTCATGTCTGA